GGGAGGGAGGGAGAGGGTTGGGAGGAGGGAGTGATCATGAAGTGTTGTATGAAGTCTGTGACGTCATGACCACCTGACAAACTCTCAACTCAATTTTAGAACGAGTTCTCCGCTACTTCTAGCACTAACATATTACGATAGAAGGTCCAACTTCTGTCAAAAACGTCTTCTTTTTATACAGATTTCGAAGAGAAATAAAAAGAAGATTCACCGTGCTGATTATCTATGGCAATGCTGAAGACTATTTCACATTTATCGTACACATCCAGTTTTGTCATTCAGCTTTCCGGACACCGCAGACGTCTCTAAAACTCATTCCGGTTCAATCAATTTGAATAAAATAGTATCAAAGGATGTGGAAATAGATGATCCACGCAATGAACATCTGGATTATAGCTAAGATGGATTTCTTGGGGTTTTTAGATGTTTGTTATGAATGAAACCACCTAAGCGATGCCTTGATGCCGTGTAGCAGCTGAACTGTCATGCAGTATACTAAGAGCAAAGCACCCATATCATTCCCAACCCCCCCGCCCCACCCCACCCCCTTTTACTCCTTGACCTCGCACTCGCCCCTTGTGAGCTGATCGCATTGTGAACGAGACATTCGAGCCATCAAACAAGACCTTGTTGATGGGAACCGGACATAATTGAAACCGTTCTGTTTTGAATGTAGATTTGCTTGTTCTGAACAGGACATACATATACCACAATCCTGCTTTGTTCATTTGTACCTTAGTTACTGTACCTCTTTTGTTTTTGTTTAGGATAATAACGTTTTGAAACGTCTACATAATATGAACATTGATAACAAATTGATGAATAAAATCAAAAATATAAAAATATGTACACTGTGGTTGTTATTTCCGTTTTTCTTTTCGGTCTTCTGTCATTTTAACGCTTTCAACAAGACGAAAAATGTCTTCTCAGACAGAAACAAAACTGAGAACACAAGAGAACCCTAAAAGTGTACGACTGATCGACCTTCTTGTGTGCCTGCGAGAGCTGGACTCTAAATAAGGACATGGAGAAAAGACTGTAAGCTGATTGAATGACGTGGTACTTAAAGAGAAAACTCTCCAGCAGTAATGGGTACCTAACTTCGAGTTGGGGAAGTAAAGGCGGCGTGGAAAGGAACTGGCCACCCTACCACAATATGCTGAAGACCCAGGAAGTTGTCTCACTAACAAGACAATCCCCAATGTCCGGGTCGGGTGCGGGGACAACTTTACTTTTACTTGTACTCAGAATCTCATGGACAGAGAGCAAAAGAAAGTAAAGAAGTGCCACATTTTGGCAGGTTGCGACTTACTTTACTTTTTACTTTTTCATCCTCTGTTGCCGTTAAGCGTCGAGGGGAGATGCAGTTTTCTAAATAGTAGGCCAGCTCCGCAGCTCTTTCAGTTGTGATGTTATGTTTTCTCAGTGTTGCCTTGACACCCTCGATCCACCTTTTGTGTGGCCTTCCTCTTCCTTTATAACCTGAGTGCTTGGTGTTGTAGGCTCTCGGGGCTGGCTGTGAACGATTTTATAATCAGGACCATCAGAAGAACATTGAGATTCTTCGGCCTCATTAACAGACTAGAGAAAGTGCTGGCGTATGGGAAGATATGGGGGGAGAAGAGCTTCGGAAGACAAAGAATGAAATACACAGACCGAATAACAACCTCGCAAAGAATGATACAATGAGAAAAACCGATCAGATATTCACAGACAAGGAACAGAGACAACAGGAAGGGGTGGGGTACTATGATCGTCAATGTCTGCTTCAGACCTGACACCTGTAGGTGATTGACTGGTGCTTCTGTTTGATTTCCTCTTTCTTTCCTATCAAACATAATCTATCATCCTGATCTTGCCTTCTTTTTTGTGTTCGTTACTCTCATGTAACTTCTCTTATCTTCAACCCTTATATGACCATATTGTCCTCGCTAGTGCTGTAAAACTCTTACTAAAGCTAAGACCGCGAACCTGAAGAAAAAGATGCTCAGCGAGGTCAGTGGGGTTAGAGGGAGGGGGGGGGGGATTCTGGGGATTCGACGTTCATGGTGTAATGACTAGTCTCCTCGTCGTCGTTCGCAAATTGCATGAGTTCGAACCTCCAGTGAGGAAGTCTTGTTTGTCGAGTATCCTCGTCTATGTTCTGGGGTGCTGTGCCAAACTTACTCAGAAGTTTATCATCTGACCGACAGAGTCGAAACAACTCGATTGCTGAATTATGTAAGCGGTGTTGATGAAAGCGTAAAATGTTGGCAGTCTCTGTGAGTTGGTCGTTGCGATACGGCACGAGAGGACTTTCCTATGATACCCTGTTCCCCCTCTATACCACAGGTATGTGTGGTGTTGTCTTGCTATTGGTTTGTTTTCAGTTTACGTAAAGAGTTTCACGGCATTTACAACACGGATAGATGATAATAAATGTGCGGGAGAATAAAGGTGTAACTAGAGAATAATTATTTACAAAGGAAGAAGGAGGAAAGATAAAGGCAATTAAATGTTTCACAGGAAAGACGAAGCAAACATCACCAGAGCTCCCGCCAACCACCCACGTCGATAGGAGTACCAGAACGACCAGCGTCTGTGGTCTAGTGGTAAGGTGGTTCATATTCGCGAGCAGAAGATCCGAGTTCGATTCTCAAGTAGGGAACATTTTTATTGAGTGTCTCGGTCTTGCTGCTGGAACGATGTATCCCTCTGAGCCCGAGCTGGTCCTGAGAGGCAGGTTCGCAGCCCGTTTCCTATATTATCAAAATAGCGTTGATGAGGGCGTAATAAACATCTCCGAGTAGTTTATCATGCTATTTTTGAGAAGAGTACAAGAACTGTGGACTAATCTTTGTTTCTTTTTCAATTTGACACATAAGGATTTTTCCCGCCCTGTCTCGCCCGCTTCTACTCTACGATTTACAACAAACACCAAGTTTTTCTACTTTTTTTAATTTAAAAAAAATGTCTTTACCCCCCCC